AACTGCGACACACGGCCTTCCGCAAACCACTCTTGCCCAGGACTTCAAAGTTTTGCTCTGGAGTTGCCGACAGATCACTCAGGATCAAGAGAGACGGCTGAGAGCATTCTGACACATCTACATCCAGAAGGTTATGACTGAGAGGTCACAAAGTGTCAGCCTTGAGTGGGAAGGAGATGCAGAAGCAGCAGCTGGGATTGGAAACTGCCCAGAGAGCGGCATGGGAGAAGCTACACTTCCCCTTCTGGATGGTGTGAATTAGTGGGAGTGCTCAGGGTTAAGTGAAAAGGAGATAAGTGCCAAATTCATCCCTCTGACACCGGTTGACCGGGGCTTTGGGACTGGGGGCCACCTCATCACCCTCCCCTCCTTCCACACAGAGCTCTACAGGCAGGCCCTGTGGGGACTGATCCCTTCCCTCCCACCGTGAGCAACGCAGCCTACACCTTAGTACAGAAACGAGGGAAAACACTCCCTGATTTTTAATCTGACTTCTGATAACAGCTCAATGGGCGTCACACACACTTCCAGACCCTGTGGTGGGAAACCCTGGGGGGGGGGAGGGAAGAACAAAGACTCAGAATGGGGGTGGAGGGACCTGAAATTCAAGACCTGGAGTGAGGCAGAGGGTGGAGGGGGGCCTGTCAGGCAATACATTCCAACGGCTCCCACAGAGGGCAGCCAGAGGCCTGGGTACCCCCCCACCTCAGGTGCCTCAGCGGGGGGTGATGGGGCAAGTGAGATGACGCCATCCCTTGCCCCGTGCCCCTGGTGAACCAGGGGGTGGGGGTGCAGGAGACAAAAGGGGCAGGCCCTCTTCCTCACCCTCCCAGCCACTCTGAAGTATGCGGAAGGGGAGCCACCTCCTCTGTTTCAGAGGGAGGCTCAGAGAGGGCAGGTCACTTGCCCTAAGTCCTGCAGCACAGCAGGGACAGCCCAAGGTCAGGGCAGTCACTGTAGGGCTGTGCTACCCCCACTGGATGGATGGAGTGGAAATCAGCTGGGGAAGCAGAGGAGAGAATCAGATTCCCTCCACACTGGATATCGATGGTAAACTCCCCTTCCCCCGCACTCCTGTCCATCACCACTCTGGGTTCCCTGATTTCCTGGTCTATGAGCTGCAGTCCTGGCTCACTTGGTCAACACTGAGTTGTCCTCGCTGCCCCTCTTACAACAAGGGACCTTGATATCCTCCCACCAGACCAAGGCTGAGGACTCAGCCTCAAGGAAAACTTTCTTTGGCCAGGGGACAGGAGACAGGGCACCACTTTCCCTCCCTCCAAGTCCCCCAGCAATCCCTCAGGTCATTCCTAGAAGCTTCATTATTATTGTTATTTCTAAATCGGTACAAAACTGACAGTGATCAGCTCCGGTGACGAGAGGTAGAAACCCGGCCAGGCAGCCGGAGAAAATGGGGTGGAGTGAGTTAGGGCTTAGGGCCGACCGGTGTTGGGACAAGGGAGTGTCAGATCCTGAGGGCCTCCATCTGTGGGTGAGGATGCAGGCGTATCTTCCCCAAGCACAGGAGTCCCTATAACTTTTTTCCTGGTTCTGTTCCTCCCCAGATTAATCAGGGTAATCTGAGATCTGAGGCAGGCAGAGTCTGGGGGAGTCGGATGGGGGTGAGATGAAGAGATAAATCTTCACTGGCACAACCTGACTCCCTCCTGGGCACCATCCTGTCCACCACCAGTCCCCAGAACCCAACATCCCCTAACCTGGCAGACCAGATTGCAGGATGCACTAGGGAACAGAGGACTGGAACCTGGCATCATAGAAAAGAATGGATCCTTTGGGAGACTCTCTCTCTACACTGTTCCAAAAAAAAAAAGTTTTAACCCAGGGGGTGATCTGGTTTTGGGGTCAGGAAGAGAGTGACGGGCACCTGGCAGGGACGGACCATCGAGTTAAGGCTGGAAGGTAGGTTGTTGTGTCTCTGGGGGCTGCTGGGCGGGGAGGTCTCCCTGGAAGTAGGAGAGCTCAGTCTTCTCCCCCTGACTGATCTGGGACCTCAACCCCCGGACCCCTTGATCGTGGCCTTTGGGCCACCCACATCTCTCTGTCCTGTGCCGGTGGTGCTGACGGTCAGAAGGCCTGGCCTCACAAAGAAGCTGCCAGGATCTGCGACTAGGGGATGGACGAAATGAGAGCCCTGTGAGCGGAGCTGGGGGAAGAGAAGGGACCGGAGAGGGGATAAGACAGGGAAGGACCCACGGACGCTCGGGCGGACAGACCAGGGAATGGAAGACACCGGGCAAAGACAGACACATTCTGGAGAAGACAGGTGGGGGCCCGGCCAAGGCAGCACCTCCCCGCCCCCACCCTGCATTGCACACGCTCACCCCCTATCCCCAAAGGCCGTGGCGCCCCTTCCGGCCCGGCACTGCACTAGCTACAGCGCAGAAGGCGCCTGTCCCGGGAAGACAAATGGGGGAGCGCGGAGGACTGAGCAGTTAGGGGGAAGCGCCCTCTCGCGCTGGGCGTCTCGCGGGGAGGTGCGTGCTGTGGGGGCGCCTCGGGCCGGGCTGTCGCAGTCCTCTCCCTGCCCACCGCCCGCCCGCCCAGCTCCGCAGCCCCCCGGGACGCCACCTGATCACGCCCTGCCCGCCCCCGGGCCGGCGCGGGGCTGCAGCCACCCGGCCGGGCGGCGTCACTTGATGGCGCAGCGGTTGCGGCGCAGCGCGCCCTGGAAGCGCAGGGCGGCGTGCACGTGCTTGCACCGCGCGCAGCCGACGCTCTTGAGCAGCTCGCTGAAGAGCAGCAGGATGTGCCAGTTGTACTTGGCCGAGCACTCCACGTAGCCGCACTTCCAGGTCTTGCGCACCAGGTGCGACACGTTCCAGCGTGGGATCACGCGTCCGCGCTGCAGGTCCCGCTTGTTGCCCACGATGATGATGGGCGTCTCCGAGGTGCCGATCACCCTGCGGGGCGAGCCAGGAACCTCAGAACGCTGCCAGTCTCGCAACCACGAATGTCCACAAAGGGGGTGGGGGAGAAGCTGTGCCTGGTCGACACTACTACCACCCACCAGATGTTCTGTTGTGGGTGCAGCCCTGGGCCCTTGAGGTGTTCTATTCCCGTCCTGGCACAACTGATCCAAAAGGTGGGTGCTATTGTTATCCCCACTTTACAGATGAGGAAAACGGGCCTGGCCTAAAGTCATACAGCCGAGCGATAGCCTTGTTCTAGAGTCCCTGTTCTTAATTACTGGGCTAGTCCAGCCTCCCTCATGGTCAAGATCACAAAATCAGTGAACAGAAATGGGGACAGCAAACGTGTGCATGTTTGTGTGTGTGGGAATTTGAGAGCACACATACTTCATCTGTGTCCCCCTGCTGTCCTTTTTTCTTGGGGGCTGGCTGGCACTGGGGCATTACAGAAGTAGCAATGGACTGTGTTACCCTCACCTTGTTTCCAGGATCTGCTGGCGGATGGTCTTGACGTACTCAAAGCTGTCAAAGCAGCAGATGTCGTAGACCAGGATGTAGGCGTGGACGCTCCGGAGTCCTCTGCAGCAGGCGTCTGCCCATTCCTGCAACACCCCCCACCCCGTACCAGGGTCAGAGCAGCTACAAGGACTCCTCTAGCCCTCAGCCACCTCCTGCCTGACTAGCATGCTGTCTCTCACCTGCCAGTGCACCTGAAGCCTTCCACACCTGCCCATTCCCAGGAGGTCAAGACCAGGGAGAATGCAGGGACTCAGCACAGCAGCTTCTCCATTCCCAGTCCAGGGTAGAGGAGGTCACATGGACTGACCTCCTGGCCCACTGCACTCACTGTCTTGTGGACATCTAGAGTTTAGGCTGACTTGTCTCATTTTTTCCCATCATCTGTGTATTCTTTTCAGTCATTTGTTCAACAGGTGCATTTATTAAGTGCTTCTAAGAGCCCAGCCCTGACCTATTTGCTGGGCCTGTTGAAATCTTCTCTATCTTCCAAGGCTCAGCTCAAGTGTCTCCTCCTCTGAAGTCTTCCTGATTTCCCACCCTTTGAAAGTAGAGAACTACTCCTTTCATCTCCTTTGTTCTAAAAATCTTTTTATTATACCTCGGTTAGAGCTGTTCCATCTCTATTCCTTTCTCTTTTTTTTTTTTTTTTTTTGAGTTGGGGTCTCCATTGCCCAAGCTGGAGTGTGCAGGGGCACAATCACAACTCACCACCGCCTTGACCTCCTGGGCCCAGGCAGTCCTTCTCAATCAGCCTCTGGGGTAGCTGGGACCACACATTCAGCTAATTTTTTTTTTTTTAATTGTTGTAGAGATGAGGTCTCACTCTGTTGCCTACGCTAATCTCAAACTCCTGGGCTCAAGTGATACTCCTGCCTCGGTCTCCCAGAGTGCTGAGATGATAGGTGCGAACCACCATACCCAGCCCCTCATCTCATATACTCCCTCCTCCGTGCCTAGCACTGTTGGCTCTTAGCAGATGTTCCTTTAAGGACGTAGGATGGTGATCTCTTCATGGTCCTGAATTGCACCTGGCCCAAGCGGGGATCAAAGCAACTCCTGCCTCTGGCACTGTCTTTAGGTTGCTACCTGATGTGCCCTTTCTGAATGCTCCACTCTGCACTCAGGGTTGAGAAATAGAAGGCCTGAGAAAAAGGTCAAGAGCAGGACCCCAGGACAGCTCCAGACGGAACTTCCTGAATGTTTGTGGCAATTTCTCTGGGAGGGGCTGCAGCTCAAGATGAATGGATCCCTGGAAAGGCTGAGTGTGCTCAAGAGAAGGTTCCTAAAGAGATTAATTAACTAAGTTAACCTGCCCACAGGTGCAAGTACAAGAGCAGTTTCAGGCAGCCAGTGCCTGGAAAGGAAGAGGTCCCTAAAGTTGGGTGGGGATAGTGGTGGGGAACAGAGACCTCCAAGGACAAAGGTACTGGGGTCTTTACCCTGAAGGGCCCAAGCAAAAAACTAGAAGGAGGTAGAGGCATATCTCCTGTCCTGTATGAGTTGAGTGGGGCAGGAACCAGGCACCAAGGACAACCACAGCTGGTTCTCCCCTTCTAAGAAGGAATAAAAGAGACTTGGTGGCAGCAGAGCAGAGTTGAGTCTAACTTCAGAACAGCACTTCCCAACTCAAAGGCTTAGAAGATGCTGCAGTGGATCTCCCCAGGGAGATGATGTGGCATCTTTTCTTTGTGCTGAGGTTTTAATTTTTGGTGCAGGGGGAGGATGCTGAGGACAAATCTAAAATCATGGGAAACCAAGAACTGGTTTCTTAGGCTAGGGAAGACTGCATTCTGCTGGACACAGTGACCTCTAGGAGCCTGGGACCCACGTGTACAGACAGTTCCTTCCCCAACCCACTGGATGAGTGAAGTTCAGTGAGAAGTGGGAAGGACAAGAGGCTCCCATCTTCCTCAAACTCTCTGGTGGGGAGAGGGAGCAGCTGCCAGCCTCTGATGGTGAGAGTCCCACCTCTCCCTTGACATGCTGTCCCCTCTGTGGACCTCCAGGCTGCCTCCCACCCACCCCTCTCTGGGGGATCCTAAAAGAGAGAGCAGAAAGGCTCCTGATTGGCTGGCTTGTTCCTTCACTCCTTGGCTGGAGGGAGGAAGCAGCATTCTGGACTGTAAAAGGCCATCTTGGGCTGTGTTGAGACAGAAGGAGCAATGGAAACTCAGTCCAGTTTCAGGGACCTGGAGGCTGAGGGAGGCTCAGCCACCTGGGTCTCAATCATGAATTTTTTTTTTTTTTTGAGTTGGAGTCTCACTCTGTCACCCAGACTGGAGTGCAGTGGTCGCTCCCGGCCACCGCAGCCTTGACCTGCTGGGCTCCGGCAATCCTTCCACCTCAGCCTTCCAACTACCTGGAACTACAGTTGCACGCTACTGCGCCCGGCTAATTTTTTGATTTATTGTAGAGATGAGGTCTCGCCAAGTTGCCCAGGCGGGTCTCGAACCCCCGGGCTCAGGCAATCCACTCACCTCAGCCTCCCAAAGCACGGGATTACAGGCTGAGCCACCGAGCCCGGCTTCCAATCATGAATTTGCTGGTCATTTTTTTGGCGGGTTGCAGGCACCCTCTAACCTCAACTTCTTTCTCCAACAGGAAGACAAGGTGTTGCGGAAGAGACAACTGAGGCTCAGAGCCAGGAAATACCACTCTCTTGGGCTGGATCTCATTTGTTTTGGGGGAAGAATGTATTACTTTATTTTCAAATGGTGGCCATCAAGATTCTTGAGTCTTATATTTGATCTTTGAGGCTTCCTGGGTCCCTTCTCAGTATTTCTCTGCTTCAAAGTCCCTTACCTGAGCTCCAGGAGTGAAATCTTGGATATTCTAGAGTTCAAAACTCAGGGTCAATCAAGAAGAAAAAGGCCAACAACCCAATAGAAAAACATGAGTAAAGGATATTAACAGTTCTTGGAAAAAGAAAACATGGAAAGATGCTCAACTTCACTCATAGTCAGAGACGCAAATAAAGACTACATTGAGAATATCACCTCTCATTTCTCAGATTGCCAAAAATCCAAGTTTGACAATATACTCCGATGGCGAGACTGTCGGGAAACAGACTCTCGCAGGTGCGCAAGATATGCAACTTCCATGGAGGGGAATCTGGCAACACCCTCCAAACTCCAGTTGCATTTACCCTTTGATCCAGCAATGCAATTTCCAGGAATCGTTCCCACAGATATACCTACCTATGGACAAAGGCTATTCATGGAGGCACTGCTTGAAACAGCACAAGACTGGAAACCACCCATTTGTCCAACAAGAAAGGACTCCATGGTATATCTCTTCAATGGAATATAGTGTAGCCATTAAGAAAGAATGAGGAAGTCCTCTACATACTGACCTGGAAAAATCTCCAGGTTAAGTTTAAAAATCAAGGTACAGAGCAGTATGGTTTTTGTTTTGTTGTTTTGCTTTTATGTAAGAAGGGGAGAGAAATAAGAACACATTTTCATATGTGAGTAAAAAAACACTGAAAGTATAGATTAAAAAAAAAAACAAGAATGGTTACGGACAGTGGGGCAGGAATCAGGATGAAGGGGGCAAGGAGAGGACCAAGACTTCTCTGGGCCAAAGCTTAGACTTTTAAATTATATTTTACCTATTCCATAATTACATTAAATTAAATTAAAACTAAAAAAGCCAGGCTCGGTGGCTCAGCCTGTAATCCTGTGCTTTGGGAGGCCGAGGTGGGTGAATTGCCTGAGCCCGTGGGTTCAAGACCCACCTGGGCAACTTGGCGAGTCCTCATCTCTACAATAGATCAAGAAAATTAGCTGGGCATGGTAGCGCGCACCTGTAGTTCTAGTTACTTGGAAGGCTGAGGCGGAAGGATCGCCGGAGCCCAGCAGGTTGAGGCTGCAGTGGCTGGGAGCGTGCCACTGCACTCCAGTCTGGGTGATAGAGTCAGACTCCAACTCAAAAAAACCAAAACAAAACAAAAAACAAAAACAAAACTAAACGCACAACTTAATGTGAAAAAATAAACAAAGCTCAGTGTGCAGACTTGGAGCAAGATTTGAATTTCCACTCAGGCTACCATTAAAGTCTCCTACAGAGAAAGACAAGAAGGCTGTGACCCCAGATCTGCTGCCCTGACTGGGTGCAGCCTCACTGCATATCGGGGGCAGATGCATGGCTCAGGTTTTTGTGTTTGGGTACCTGGGAAGAGAGAGACAGGTGTCCGTGGCACACTGAATCCCAAGTCTCAGTCGGAGAGGCTGTTATATTAGCTCAGTTACAACTGGCCAAGCCTTGTCCCCTGCTTTCTGGGTCTCCTCTACTGTGCCTCTCCTTCCCTGAAACCTCTGCATACTCTGGTGCTTCCTTCAGTGAGCAAACATGTCTTAGAGCTCAGCTCCCCGCTGCACTCCACATCCTCTCAAGCCAGAGATAGAGAGAGGGAAGGAGGACCTGGTCCCAGAGCCCAGAATACTAACAGGCACCTGGTGCTCCCCATCCTCTCTACTGCCTCTCACCTGCCTGAAACCTACTTAGTTGACACATCACCTCCTGTGGTCCTCACCCCACCCCAGCACCCCTGCATGGGTTAGATGCCCCTTAAGGGCTGCCCCAGCTCCCTGTGTCTCCTCCAATCACAGCACTTATAATATTATATGATAACTGGCCTGTTAGTCTTTTCTCACCAGATTGTGAGTTCCTTGAAAGCAAATTCTGTATCTTCTTTGGCTTACCATTCCGCCCCAGTGCTCACTGCAGGACCTGGCACACGTTAAACGGTCATCAAATATTTGTTGAATAAACTAGCACACAGTGAATGGATTCCTTGAACAGCTCTAAGCAGGGTGGCCCCAAGTGCAGTGTGGCGCTCCCAAACCCAGTGGGGTGGCCCTAGCAATAGGGGCAGAGCTGGAGCAGGACGGAGTCCATCCTCTCCCCATCCCTTCACTTCCCCACTGCCCACTGCCCCCTGCCCCCGAGGGCCCTCCTACCTGCAGTGTGTTGACAGGGAAGGTGCTGATGGGCGGGAAGTCGAGGATCTGGAGGTCGTGCACATGGCCGTTCATGACGACAGCAGGCAGGTAGAGGCGGCGGGCGGTGGTGGGCACACAGACCTCGCTGAACTCGTTGTACAAGAACTGGCGCACGATGGCACTCTTGCCCACGCCTCGCGCCCCCAGCACAGCCACCCGGTAGGTGGAGACCATGCCTCCCGCCCCACTCCGCCACCGCGTCCTTGCCGCTGCCTGGGGCTCCCCCGGGCTGCATATTCCAGGGGCTGGGGGCTCAGCCACCGTCAGGACCAACCATTGCTGCCTCTGCTTGCCCCAGGTCTTCGGCGGCCTCCACCTGGACTGTGGGGACAAAAGGTGGACTCAGTGCACTGGCTTATCCTGGACATGTCCTGTACTTTTCCACCTCTGGGGCTTTGCTGAAGCTGTTACTGTCACTTAGAATGCCTTCCCTTTCCCAGAACCCCTATCACCCAACCAAACCACTCCACTCCATCCCTCCTTCTCCATTTCTTCCTGAGGCTCCACTAGTGGGCATGACTCTTCCTTGATTTATGTTATGACCTGACTTTTCTTCCCGCAGGCAGGCTGCAGGGAGAGTGGAAAGAGCACCAGACTGGGGTTCAATCCCAGTATCCCCCAGAGCCTGGAACAAGACAGCAACTCCTCTGAGTCTCAGTCTCATCCTGAAGGGATGAGCTGGAGCAAGTGTGTCTCAGTACAGGCACTCCTGGCATTTTGTAGGGAGAGAATTCTTGATTGTGCAGGACTGCCCACACATTGCAGGACATTCTCCTTCCACGGCTCCCAGAAGACAACGCCAACAACAGCCTCCAGTCACCATGATGACCAAAAATGCACCCCCTTCCCTGCCCACATTCCCAAAGGCCCATAATCAAGAATGCTACACTAGGTGACCACTTACTCTGCTGGCATGTCTGCATGGGCAATACAATATCCCAAAAGGACAGGTATTGCTATTCCCACTTTAGAGAGAAGGCTCAGAATAAGAAGTGTACCCAGCCGGGCTCGGTGGCTCAGCCTGTAATCCTGCGCCTTTGGGAGGCTGAGGTAAGTGGATTGCCTGAGCCCACGGGTTCAAGACTAGCCTGGGCAGGCGAGACCTCATCTCTACAATAAATAAATAAATTAGCTGGGCGTGGTAGCGCGCGCCTGTAGTTCCGGCTACTCGGAAGGCTGAGGCGGAAGGATCGCCGGAGCCCAGCAGGTCGAGGCTGCGGTGGCCGGGAGCGGCCACTGCACTCCAGTCTGGGCGATACAGTGAGACTCCAACTCAAAAAATAAAATAAAAAAAGAAGTGTGCCCAAAGTCACACAGCTGGATGACAGCTACTCCTTTCTATATGGTCGCAGTACTTCCAACTTCCAAGTCTAGTGATTCAAACCAGTGAAGGTACACAGGCCAGGGCTGGTCTGATTCTCTGACAGCCCCTGGAGCTCGGAGGGCCTGGCACACAGTAGGACTGCCAGGGGGTCAGAACTTGACTTCTTACCTGCTCATTTTTGATGACTTTGGAGCTTGGGTATAAATACTAACTCTGACGTGTCCTTGCTGTGGGTTATTGGGCAAATCACCCGCCCAATCTGAGCTATGCTCTATACATATATAAAACCGAGTCAATAGCCTCTGTTTCTGAGAAAATCCAAGTAAATCTCTTAGCCAGGAAAAGGAGAGAAACTTTCTCCTTCTGTTGGGGATGGTGACCATGAAGCCTGGGACATGCTCGAGAACCCTCTGGGATTCCTAGGAGGGTGACACCAGCACCTGCTCACTGGGTCCAGGGCAGGTGGGCTTGCTGGATTCTGTCAGGGCCCTGCTTTTCGGCATGTGTGCATGCTTTTTCTCTAGGTGGGTATTCTTTCCCATGTGCACAATTCAAAGCTGAATGTCCACCAGGCTATTCTGCTTCAGAGGATTCAATCCACGGGGTATGTGTGCATACAGCAGAGTAAATAAACGGCAGGACTTAGAGTGGGAACCTCCAGGGTTTGGTTCCCAGCTCTGCCATTCACTTCAAGTGTGGCCTTGGGCAAGAAGCTCTGCAGGGTGCTGTGAGGCTATGCATGTAAAGCCGAGTGCCTGGCGTTCGATAAACAGTGGCTATTGCTTTGGCCAGGGTTTCTTCACTTATCTAAGATTTTCCACAATCTTAGTAGGACCTCCTAGTAACCCCAGGAGGGGTCACCATCCACTGTTGCTTGAGTTTACACACTTATATGTATATGTGTGTATATGAGATCCTTCTCCCCGCTTATCTGAAGGTTTACAAAAAAACCAAAGCCAGAGATTCAGGGAAATGAAGACCTCATAGCCAGCTGAGTTGTCAAGTAAGACTAGGATCCTGACTTCCTTCCTACCCAGTGCAGTGTCCTTTCTCCAACAGGTGTTTATACACTTGCATGGGCTCCCAACTAGGGGAAGGACCAGCCCTTCCTTCCCAGACATCGCTCCAGGTCGAGGCACCTCAGGCATCTACGGACTGCCCGCCTGGCAGAGACACTCAGCTGGGTTAATTACATAACCAACACAAGTAGGTGGGAAGGGGGGAGTCCGAGGGGAGGAAGAGAGGGCAAGGAATGTAAAAAAATAAAAAAAAAAAAGTCCTGACCTCTCTAGGTGTGGCATCTCAGAGGTTTCTAGGGGGTGCCCTACCTGCAGATGCTCCCAGACACCACATTCACTCCCTGCCCAGAAACCAGTCCATTCTGGGGTGTAGCAGGGATGTGAAAGCCAGGCACAGCCTGGGAGCCAGGGAGGGGGTACCTGAGAGGCCCTTAGGTTAGGGCCAGCTCCTGGAACTCGCCAGGCCTAAGTGTGGCCCTGTCCCCAACTCAGAGGAGATCGGTGCCCCTTCCTTCTTCTCAAGCAGAGGTTCTGGGTCTAAGAGTATATTAACCCAACACCCTTGACTGGGGAAGGGGAAAGGTCCCGAGCAGCAGGGCCCAGGCCCCTGAGCTCCCTCCCCAGGGCCTGCGCTCTGCAGTGAGTCTGCAGACAGCGCCCAGCAAGAGACCGGAGACAGACACCGGGGCCAAAGCCTGGCTCCTGCCCGCTTCCCTCCGCCGGGTCGCCTGGGTCTGCCCAAGACGGGGGGCGGGGGCTTCACGGATCCCCAGGGCCGGGTCACACGTCCGCCAGTCGTGTGCTCCAACGCGTTCGCGTGGGGGTGGGCTGGGGGCGACGGAGGATGCTGGGAGCCCCGTGACCTGACTGGCAGGAGTCTGGGGGATGCAGAG